GGATTCCCTCTCCACCAGGGCACAAGCTCTACCACAGCAGTGCTCCTCCTCGCCCCAGGATCTCCACCCAGAACTGTGACCCAGAACCAAGCACAGGCAAAGCAAGAGAATCCTGCCTCAGCACTAGCAAAGAGATCCCTGCAATTTCCCTCTGATCAGCCACTCAATTCCCCCTCAGTCTGTGGGCTGGAAGGTCCAGGAAGCAGCCACTGCCCTGGGGCTGTGCCAGGACTGGGGCTAGGATGGAGCTTCTCTCTGTGGTCACAGATTTATCTCACTGACCTTCTAAGTTGTCGTTGGTGTTTGTGGGTTGAGAAGTCTGGAAACCACCACAGCTGCCTGTGATTCAGTCCCCTGAGGCCTGCTCCAGGTTCGCTAAGGCCTGTTTTGTCTGCGCATCCACACTGAACAGCATTTCTCTCCCAGCCCAGTGCGATAGACCTTTCTAATCAACCATCCAGGTTGTTTTCAGCTAGAAATTTGTTTCACTCAGTCTTTTTGTGGGTTCTGCTGCTCTAGAATTTGTTTAGAGTCATTTTTACATGTATTTGGAGGGGTTTGGGGGAGAGCTCAAACAAGTCACTGCTTTTACTCTGCCATTTTGGCTCCGCCCCTCCCACAGCAGCCTTTTTTGTCCCCAATGGATAAATTGGTCAAAAGATAGGAACAGGAAGTTCTTAAAAGAAAAGTAAGCTATGAATAACTATATGAAAAAATGCTCCAAATTATTAATAAAGTTACTCTATGATTAAGCTTATATCTAAAGAGATAAAAGAGGGAAAGAATCTCTCTAATGTTCACAGTAGTAGCTTTTTATTGTAGCATAGAACTAGAAACCAAGGAATGCCCACCAACTGAAGAATAGCTTAACAAATTATGGCTTAAGAATTTAATGTAATATTATTGCACCAAAAGAAATAATGAAAAAGATTGTTTTAGAATAACCTGGGAAGACTTGTATGAACTGATTCAGAGTGAAGTGAATGGAACAATGAGAATAATTTATACAATAACAACAATATTATAAAGAAAAACAACTTTGAAAGACTTAAGTACTCTGACCAATAAAACAATCAAACATAAATTCAAAGGACTGATGATGAAGCATGCTACTCTCCTGAAAAAGAGGTGATAGCCTCTAGATACAACATAAGGTATAACTGAAGACATTTTTAGCTCAAGTCAACAACAATTTGTTTTGTTTCACCATACATATTTGTTACAAGAGTCACTGAGTTCTTTTTCAGTTGAGGAAAAGATTGAAGGGGAAAAATTCAAATGAGTTAACCAATAAAAGAAAAAGAATTACAGCAGGTCATTGAAGTATTTTTTTTTAAAGACACAGAAAAGAACAGAAATAAGGAAGGGCAGTGGAATCAGAAGTAATCAGAACAGCTTTGAAAATATGAGATGAAGGGCATATTTAAAAATAAAAGGAAGCTAGATCAATTCACAGTTCCATGGATAACCATCTCTTTCTGTTTTATTATACATATGGAAATGCCCAAATTATTTGGTGTTTGTCAAGTTCAAAAAAATAATTTTTTAAAAAATGTAAACATCATTAAATAAGAAAGATTGTGAATAGTTTCCATTTCTGTTTTCTTTTTTTAAATTATTATTAATACATTTTGGTCATTTATTTGTTGGGGAATAACTCTTGATCTTACATGTCTTGGACACTGAGGCTTTACCAAAGATGTTTGATGCGAAGACTTAATTTTGATGAATAACATTCTTTCCCTTATTCGAGATGCACAGATTTGGTTCATGTAAAAGCCATTTTGTTTTAGTGAAAGAAAAATTGCCTTGTTATGCATTGATCAACTGTGAATGACTTAGCTCTTCTCAGCAATAAAATGATCTAAGACAATTTCAAAGGATTCACGATGAAAAAAGTTATCCAGCTCCAGAGAAAGAACTGATGGGGAGTCTGAAAGCAGATTGAAGCATATTATTTTTCACTTTGTTTTTTGTCCCTTTTTTTGTCTGCACTTTCTTTCGCAACATGAATAATACAGAAATATGTTTTGCATGACTGCACGTTATCACCCATATCAAATTGATTACTCTCTCAGAAAGGGGAAAGGGGAGGAAGAGAAGAACTGAACTCAAAATTTTAAAAAATAAATGTTAAAATTATTTTTCCATGTAACAGAAAAAGATAAAATATTATTCAAAAAATTGTTCATATTTTCTTTTATGCTTACCTCTTTTCCTTGTTTGGTTAAGGACTCTCTTCCCTAACCAAAGGTCTAATAGATACTTTATTCCAAATTCATGCCTAATCCTATCAGCTTTCAGTATTTTTCAATCTGCCTTATGTCTCACTATAGGACTGAAAGTGTCTCTGCTAGGTAAACAATGCTCTTGTTCAGTCTTTTCAGTCATGTTTTACTCTTCCTGACCCCATTTGGGGTTTCAATGGCAAAGATATTGGAGTGGTTTGCCATTTCCTTCTACAAAACAATGTTCTCTCAACTGCTACTAAGTAATAGGCTTTAGACAAATAACATGCAAAACTAAATACTCTCAGTTTTTAAATATCAAAAGATAAGGACAACAGTGAGACAGTATATTATGCTGTTAAAACCTGCACTTCAAAATTAGAGGAAAAAAAAGAATTTATACTTATTCTTTTGGCTTAACCAAATGATGATTTAGGTATTTCCAACATGTGACACTGATGATTTTAACTTGCACTTTGGACTGCTTAAAGATTAACCTTTTTTTTTCTCCTTTGTAAAATGATTTAAGAATTAAAAAAAGAAAATTACCTTTTGTTGAAATTGTCTTCAAGAACTTCAGAGTTCTCAAAGACGTTATTTACTTGATGACTCCACAAAGTTTCTATCCAAAGAGGAAAATAAACTGGGGTTTTGGAAAAACAAGAGTAGAAGAGTTTTATATTCAAGGTGGAGTTTTGTAGTAATGACTGTGAGAGGGAGGGATTTGAACCTATAACCTATCATCTGGTAAAAAGATCATTATCAAATAATATTACTCTTTTTTTTTTTGGTGAATGAAACATATTTTTTGTTACTAACTACTAAGCCAATGTTGAATCACATGCTAAAAAAAAGCCATAAATTGTTACTTCGTTGCTTTTTTAAAAAAAAAATGAAATCCTATGATTCTGAGATACAGATGAAAAGACACAGCATGAAATTATAGTAACTCAGGGGCAGCTAGGTGACGCAATGGATAGAGCACCGGCCCTGAAGTCAGGAGTACCTGAGTTCAAATCCGACCTCAGACCAAAAACTTGACACTTTAGCTGTGTGACCCTGGGCAAGTCACTTAACTCCAATTGTGGAAAGAAAAAAAAAATTATAGTAACTCCAACCCAAATGGCCTAAAAAAACTGATAAAAAAATATGAAATTAATGAAAGTGACATCAAGCCTGGTACTATTTCTGAGAGAACTCCAAAACAACTACCTCAAAACTCACATATCACTGATCCCCTTCATCATTTCTTACATCACATTTAGTATTCTATAACACCCATATAACATAACTTATTCAGCCATTCCCTGATTGATGGGCATCCCTTCAGTTTCCAATTCTTTTCCTCCACAAAACAGAGCTACTTTAAATATTTTTACACATCTGGGTCTTTTCTTCTTTCTCTGATATCTCTGGAATATAGATCTAGTGGCTGGGTCCAAGGGAAAGGACAATTTCTTGTTTTTGAAGAGCCTACTCTTTTCAAGAAGAGACAGGACCATAGCCAATGACTTTAAGTGACGCTGAAAGGAAACAGAGGCTCCACAATCACATGCCCAAGAGGACAAAGCTTGACAGCACGTAGAGGAGCAATGTCTCAAAAAGACCACATCCCCAGTAACATTGTTGTACTGACCAGGTGTTCCCTAGGGATATGCCTCTCCTCATATGACCTACACTCTTCTCATTGATAGCGTGTGTTCATTTAATGGAGGGGGAGGCCCCAAGTTTATCAGGAAAATGTTTTATTGCATCTTTGCTCACTGATGTTACTTTATTAAATTCCTTTGCTTATGTGCCCCAAAATGGTTAAAGGATATTCTGTATCATGAACCAAGGCTGCAGGAGGGTTAGAGATGGGGTGGGGTGCTACATTCTTCCAAATCCAAGTCTGGAATGGTGTCCTGTTGCAAAGCAGGCAGAGTCAGACAGTTAACGAGCCTTTGTTAATCATCTGATATATGTCAAACCCTGTGGGAAGCACAGAGGATCCAAAGAAAGGCAGTAACAGTGTCTACCCTTAAGGAACTTCCATTCTGATGAGGGAACTAGGTACATAAAAGATATATCCAGAAATAGACGGGTGGTAATTTCAGAAAGGAAGCCATTAGTGAACTAGCTGGTGAAGTAGAGTCCTGGTCCTGGAGTCAGAAAGACTTACTTTTGTGAGTTAAAATCCAGTCTGAGACACTTACTAGCTGTGTGACCCTGGGCAAGTCACTTAACCCTGTTTGCCCATTTATTCATCTATAAAATGAACTGGAGAAGGAAATAGCAAGTCACTCCAGTATCTTTGCCAAGAAAATCCCAAATGGGGTCACACGAATGAACAACAACAAATGGGGGAAACACCTTTTCAAAAATTAGTATTTGAGCTGGATATTAAAGGAAGCTAAGAGGCAGATGGGTAAGGGGAAAGCCAGTGCCATGCAAAGGAGACTAAAGTTGGTGTCATGTTCAAGGCATTGCAAGTAGGTCAGTGCTGTTAGATTGTAGACAGGCTAGAGGGGAGAAAATTCAAAGAAGTTGGGAAAGATAGAAAGACGTTACTTTGTGAAGTGCCCAGCAAAGAAACGGGCATTTGATCCTGGAGTTCACTGGATAAGACAATGACATAGTTAGACTAAGACGTTAGGAAAATCATCTTGGCACCTGTAGCCAGGAGACACTTGAGTTTAAATTACGTCTCTGACACTTAGCAGCTGGTGCAATAATCGCAAGCCTTTTGAACCTCCGTTTTTGCAGTTGTAAAATAAGGATCATGATACCTACCTCACAGGATCAGTGACAAATGAGATGTTTCAAGTCTTGTCTTTTCCACCTCCCCAACACCTTGCATCTATTCTCTTCTCTCCAGTAACAGGGACTGCTTGGGCCCTCAGTACCTATGCTGAAGGTGGTAATCAGAAGGAGCTACCCTCACTGACCCCATGGTTGCAGCAGGTCTTGTGATATCGCTGGAAACTTGTTGCACCTGCAGTCCATATTCTGACCAATGTCAGCTGCTCTTCACCCTTTGGCTGTTTTGCAAAACAACTTAACTCCTCACAGTTGCTGTAGCTCCAAAGTATTCCTCCCAGTTCACGGGCATTTAAACCCCACCCCTTCTGCTCTCTTTGGGCACTCCTGTACTCTGGGGCTGTGTGAGCTCCCAAATTGCCAATCCTTTGTGTTGATGAAAGATCCTACTTTGATAGTCTTCTTCATTTCAGGTGGATACCTATAGCCCACCTAGACTATGATTGTACTAGACTCAAAATTGGTCTTCCTGCTTCCAGGCTCTCCCTTCCCCAAACAATCCCCTACAGAGCTGCCAAAATAATCTTTGTAAAACAGAAATCTGACCTTGTCCCTTCCCTGCTCTCCAGAGGCAATTATTTCTGTGGTAAAACACAAATTGCTCAGCTTGGCATTTAAAGCCTTTAACAGTCTGACTTGAGCCCACCTCTCCAGACTCATTTCACACATTCCACTTTACCCACTCTACTGTCCACTCAAATTACTCTATTTGATAGCCTCCAAACTCTACAATCCATCTCCTGACTCCACAACTTTACATAGGGTGCCCTTCCTCCCCACTCCTAGACGGCATTCCTTCACTTTTCTGTCCTAAAAACCTTCAAGCTCCAACTTAGGTGCTTTTCATTTTGAGAAGCCTTTTGTGATCACCCTGGCTAGTGTGGTTTTTTTTTGTTTCCCAATGCTCAAATTAGGTTGCAACTACTTATGAGTGTAAATGTTGACTGTATCCTTCATCTTTCTCAGTAGAAGGTAAGTTCCTTGAGAGCAGACTTTTTTTATGTCTTTCTGTCTCTTGAGGTTTGTATAGTATCTTCACCACAGTAAGCACTTAATAAATGCTTTAACTCAATGCCTAGCATAGTGCTTAGCATACAATAATAGGTACTTAGTGTTTTTTGATTGCTTGTACACCTGTAAATTTTTAAATACTATCAATATATTGAAAAACAGCATGGCATATTGGATAGACAGCTGTCCTTAGAGTCAGAAATTGGATGGAGGAGAGGGAATAAACATGTATACAGCACCCACTATGTGCCAGGCACAGGGCAGCTAGGTAGCTTAGCAGATAGATTTCTGGCCTGGAGTCAGGAAGATTCATCTTTTTGAATTCAAAACTGGCCTCAGACACTTGTTAGCTGTGTGATCCTGGGCAAGTCACTTAATCCTTTTCACCTCAGTTCCTCACCTGTAAAGTGAGCTGGTGAAGGAAATGACAAACCACTCCAGTAATCTTTGCCAAGAAAACCCCAAATGGGGTCAAGATGAGTCAGACTCAACTGAAATGACAGAACAATAGCAACAACAAAACTGTGCAATGCACTGTACTAAGTGCTTTTTTTTAAAACAATTATTTCATTTGATCCTTGCAACAATGCTGGGAGGTACTATTGTTATCATCGTTTTATAGTCATATAATTGAAAACTGACACCCTACTTTATTTTGTATTACTTATTAATTATTGATTGAGAATTGCATCTAATCAAAGTATCAATACTTATGGATGAGATCTGAACTTGATTATATAGGTCTCAATGGGAGAGTTTGTAAGAGTTTAACTTCCTTATTCCTATAGACTACAGACTGACCACAAAGACTCAAAGCTTGTAAGTTTTTGGAAGGGAGAGAGGGGAAAGGGAACACAAATCAACCTCATTATAGGATGTTTGCCCACCACGAGATTTTCCACAGGATGAGAGTCAACCCTGTATTTTTCCCTTTTGCCCTGGGTTATGGAAATCTCCTCTCTGAGTCAAGCCAAACCTAAGCCCACCCTTCATCTTCATGTTAAACTAATCACAGTCTTAGTTTAGTTTGCATCACTGGTACCTTAGGTAACCAACCGCATTAAAGAGTTGTTCTCCCTGTCAGAGAGGTCCTTGACCTTTGAGAGGCCTTGGATCCCACTTATTGGCAATTGCTTGCCTTGCTAATAAATTGATCATGCTCTGAACTTTGTACCTCAGTTTCTCTTTATCACAGTTTATTTTTTATTCTGAAACAGTTAAGCAAACTGAGACAGAGATTAAGTGACTTGCTCAGCACCTGTTTTCAAGTCCTGCCTCTGAGAGGTAACACCTGTGTGTCCCTAGATGCGTCCTTAAACTCTTGGTGCACTAGGTCAGAGGTATCAAATAGAAAAGTTGGTCACTAAACTATACATAATGATAAGGATCCCTGCAGCTGTATATTGACTTAGGAACCATACATTTATTTCCTTTTTTTAATCCAACAACACATTACAAGGTAATAGAAACTACATTTTAATCTAATTCAGACACACACAGGAGAGTTGTTGGACAACTCCTTACAAACAAATTGCAGAGATGGTACTAATTTGCACTGGTAGAATTTCCTTACCCTAGAGTTTCCTACATAAGTCATGCTGCAGGCATTGTGCTAAGTAGTGAGAGTACAAAGAAAGGCAAAAGACAGCCTAAAGGGGAAGACAACATGCAAACAATTAGTACATAACAGATATAAACAAGATAAATTGGAGGTAATCTCAGAAGGTACTAGCATTGAGGAAGATTGGGACAACTTTCTTGCAGAAGGCAGGATTTGAGTCTTGAAGGAGGTCAGGAAAGCCAAGAGGCAAAAACAAGATAAAACTTTCCAGGAAGGGGGAAGAGACAGTGGAAAAAAGCAGAGTTGGGAATTAAAGTGTCTTATTGGAAGAATATCAACAAACCTATGTCAGTAGATGCAAAATACATAGAGGGGAGTAAGGTGTACAAATACCTGAAAGGTAGCAGAGAGCCAGATTATGAAGGGCATTTTATATTTGATTCTGGGAGTTATTGGAATTTATTGAGTAAAAAGGTTGTAGTCAGTCAGAGTTATCCTTTAGGAAGATCATTTTTGTCAACTAAGTGGAGGATGGAATGGAGTGGGAAGCGACTTAGGACAGGGAGACCAACCAGGAGGGCATTATCATTGTCCAGGTCTGAGATGATGAGAGCACGGATTAGGGTGGTGGCACTATAAGAGGAAAGGATTAAATGAGATATGTTATGTAGAAATGACAGAACCTGGCAACAGACTGGATGTAGGGGGGTAAAAGTGAGAAGTCAAGCATACTTACATTGGGAGCTTGGGCCCAAGTCATTCAACAAGGATGGTGGTGTCCATGACAGGAATAAGGAAGTTTGGAAGAGGGTAGAGTTTTAGGGGAAAGAAAACGTGTTCAAGTTTTTGACATGTTAAGTTTAAGATGTCTAGAGGACATCCAGTTTGAGATGTCCAATAGACAGTTGGAAATGTAAGGCCAGAGGTCAGGAGAAGGGTTAGGGCTGGATAAATGGATCTGAAAATCATCAGCATAGAGATGAAAATTGAATCTATGGGAGCTGATGAGATCACCAATCAAAATAGCATAAAAGGAGACGAGGGCCTGGGACAGATCCTTGGGGGTCACCCACAATTAGCAGGTGCAACATGGAAAAAGATCCAGCAAAGTAAACTGAGGAATGGTCATATAGATAGGAGGAGAACTAGGAGAGAGCAGTGTCATGTAAACCTAGAAAGAAGAAAGTATCAAGGAGAAGAAGGTGATTGATAGTGTCAAAGGCTACAGAAAAGACAAGAAAGATAAGGGTTGAGAAAAAGCCACTGGATTTGGCAATCAACAGAGCATTGGTACTCATAACTCAAATGAAGAGATATGAAAAGACAGCCCCAACCCACCCATTCATGGAAACAGGAGATCCACTGGTATTGCACATTGCCCGTGTTTTCAGATTTTTCCAATGTATTGATCAGTTATGCTGATTATTTTTCTTTTTTAAAAAAATACTTTGTTATATGGGATGGTTCTCTGTGAGGGGGAGTAAAGAGGAGAGGATACTAGGGATAACTATGGTGATGGAAGAAACAGAAGACATCAATACAAACCTATTAAGAGAAAAGAAAAAATGAGATCATTAGTAAGTGTAGAGAAAGCAATTTCAGTTGAAAGATGATGAACTTGGAAGCCAAACTGCAAAAAGTCAACAGAAAGTGAGAAAAGGAAGTGGAAACACTGATTGTAGAAAGCTTGCTTTCTTTTTTTCTATTTTTAAGGTAATTGGGGTGCAGTGACTTGCCCAGGGTCACACAGCTAGTGTCACGTGTTTGGTCTGAGGTCAGATTTGAATTCAGGTCCTTCTGACTTCAGGGCCCATGCTCTAGCCACTGTGTCACCTACCTGCACCTAATGTAGACAGTTTACTTCAGGAGTTTAACCATTAAAGGGAGGAGACATACGGGAAAATAGCTAGCAGGAATGGACCAATGATACACCAGACCTAATCTTTATCCCTATTTAAATATCATTCTAAAAACTTCAATTCCTAGTATTCTCAACCCATTCTCCTGCCACCATTAGTTCAAAAGTGAAAAGGGTCTGCATAGGATAGAAGGACATTTTGTAGTGTTCTTTATTTGGTAGGTTGCCATGTACAAAGAATTCATCACCTAGTGGCCAACCTCCTGGTGATGTATTTAGCTGGGCTGCTTCTCTGGAAGCAGTCTCTTAAGGGTGACTATACTCAAAATCCTTTCAGAATGATAGGATTGGAAGTTCAGCTTTAGAGCTTGAAAGGGATCTCTGAGACAGTAAGTGGCACTGTCAGGGCTTGAATCTCTATCCCCTGACTCCAAATCAAAGTCCCTAAAGTTTATACTTTGATGGCACAGCCTTCAAAAACCTATTGAGTATATTGTTATTATATTATTATATTATATGTGATTATGAGTATCAATGTCAACAGATGATCCTATATGAGAAACAAACCCCCCAAATATAATATGTTCTATATACTATGAAAACTCTGTCTGCTCAGTCACCTCCCTAGTACAAGCCCTCATCATTTCTCATCTGGACTATTACAACAGGAATGGAACTGGCTTCCGCACATCATGTCTTTCCCCTCTCCAATCAAACCTCCAAGCCAAGAAGTGTTGATTACGTGCTTACTATGTGCTGAGCCCTCTGCTAAGGGCTGGAGACATAAAGGCAGAAATTA